TCAGAGTTGTTTTCAAATCAGCAACTGGAGCAAAGATAAACATGCACGCAGAAAGAAATTTGGGGATCTGCAAATCATTTGCAAATCTTCATTTTGGGCAGGTTTGACAGGACATTAATTCTGTCTGAAAAGGGAGATAGACAAGAAAAACCCTTGAAATCTCTCATTTTGAAGGAAAATGGTGATGCTTTCTCTCTTAATGGCAGACAAGTGCTGCCTGCATGTGACATGAACAGAGTGCAGATGAGCAATCTGTGCCTCTAAGCTGCCCAGGTTGCAGGACTGAAAAGAGCAGAATTCCAAAAGTAACAATTACCTTTATTTTCTTGAATCAGCACATAGTGCAGCCAGCTGCACAGATCTGCCTCACAGTTGTGCCTAAGCACTGTTTATGCATTATGGCAATACAGCCAGCAGCTGTTTGCCCATACAGCCTAATCATAATAATATCACTAATTAACAGAACATGGTGCAAGGAGTGACAGTGTTTCTCCTTAATTTAAAGGAAAGAATTTAAAGAAAAACGTCAAGCATGAATTAAAGACCTAAAAAGCTGATGGCCACATCTTCTAAAAACTGAGGTGTTAAATACTGGCCTTATATGAATATCAAGTCAGTACTACTGTTATTCTCCCAATTTTTGCCACTGTCTGCACAACTTTGGAAATGTACCTTAAAGTCTCTCTATGCTTATATAGGAAATTTGATGAGTTGCAAAAGGCTGAAAGTTGAAAACATAGATTAGAACAGCGTATTTAACGTTTTTTGAAAGGGAGTAGAGGGAACCTTAGATATATCCAAATCACAACCTGAATTTTCTAACACTAATGACATCTATTCACTGTCTGGTATGGCTCAGATATTAAACAAATCTTTGCAAGATTTGTAGTAGTGCTGCTTACAGAATGAACTATATTACTGTACTATTTTGTAGATGCAATGCAAACAGATACACAGTTTTAGCTTGGAGTTCATTCATAACTACCATTCACCCCATGCTTATATCAATATTTACTACAAGATAATTCACTTGAAAAACCTGGACGGATTATAGTCTATCTCTTGGCAAGTCAATGAAAATTCTTTCTACAGGAAACTCTTCCGTAAAACCACAACAGCATAAAAATACTTTTAACCTTCTGGGAAGTTTGTGGTCTCTTTTGACTTTACAGTTATGTAGGCACTGATGATGATCTCCTCACTACCTCACTGAAGACAAGATAATACTTTTAAGATGTTTATGTACATTTTTATTGTTACTATAATTGCTTTGAAGGCTTAGCCTATACAACACTAGAACTACTGAAGTGGTATAAGAATAATGCTGATATAAAAAAGGAGTATCAGAGGTCATTTCACAAAGTTCTGAAACAGTCTCATGCTCAAGTTAAGCAAGACTTTTGCCTTCTGAAGCCTAAGAAAGTAACAGTTCCTATGCAGCAGACCAGAGGCAACTGTCCCTGCCTTTTTAAACCCAGGACAGCAAGGGTTGAGCCATCCCTCTCTTCTGGAATGTCACTCTGCAGAAACATGCTGTCAAATGAGTTTACCCCCTGCAATTCTTAGGGCTGATTATGAGAATGGATATTAAGAATGGAAGAACTGTGTTCATACTACTTTCTCAAAATCCAATTCAAAGTCAGTTTTACTGAAGAAGAAAAAGCAGACTGTGTTGCCTATCTATCTATCTCAAAAGAACTCAGTTTGATTTTGTAAATGCAAAACAACTAGTGGACTTGGACTAGGAAGAAAAAAAAAGGAAAGAAGGAAAGGTTATTTTTGTTTGTTTGTTTGTTTTGTTGTTGTTTTTCTAACAGCCAGATAGCACGTTTTTATCATACATTGAGCATAATTCTTTTTTGCATTGGCATTATCATCCTTTGTACGAATTCCCCTTCTGAAACACTTGAGTCTGTTCCATGGTACAGTGGGAAATCCAAGGGCCCAGATTCCTGACTTCGTGCAATGGTGCAGGATGACCATGCTGCTGGGATGGAGCAGTATGAACACTGCTGTTGGCAGTGCACAAAAGGGAATATAATCAAGCTCATTCCACTTAACTGCAGTTCTGCAAGACTAACAAGAGTGTAAGCTGTATTTTTGTCCATAAAGTGGGCACATACAATGCTGAATCAACACAGGAAATAAATCAGTTGAAGAGGAACTTTTTTGTTGCTGCTGTTGTTTTATGATGACTCCTTTGGAGAACCAAAAGAGAGAGTGGAGCACAGAAAACACCAGGGAAATACTTTCTCAGAAGGTAAACATTTCTTTTTGTCATTAATAAAAAACACTAAAACCCCATTTCTGAGGGACTGGGCTTGTTTAGTCTGGAGAAAAGGAGGTTCTGTACAACTGCCTCAAAGGAGATTGCAGCGAGGTGGGGGTCGGTCTCTTCCACCAAGTAACAAGCAATAGGACAAGAGCAAATGGCCTCAAGTTGTACCAGGGAGGTTTAGATTGACATTAGGGAAAATTTTTTTACTGAAAGGGTTGTCAAGCATTGGAACAGGCTGCCCAGGGAAGTGATGGAATCAACATCCCTGAAGGTATGTAAAAGATGAGTAGATGTGGTGCTTAGTGATATGGTTTAGTGGTGGACTTGGCAGTGTAAAGTTAACAGTTGGACTTGATGATCTTAAAGGTCTGTTCCAGCCTAAAGGATTCTGTGATTCTGAGCTGGTAAAATATGTGATTTATCAAGATAGGGTCTGCCCTTCTGATGCTTTTACTTCTAATCTGCAAACTCGTGAATTTGCCACTAGTCAGATGCAGTTTATTTTTTGTTCTAATGCTAAAAATCTTTGCTGGCAGCAATTAAAGGAATATTCTAAGGGAACAACTTGTGTACCAATGTGTCTAATTAATCTGTGTTGCTGAATTAAGTATAATACAGCTAAGGCTTGTAGACATGGTCATAATCTTATGTTCCATGGGAAGTGAATATCAATGCAAAGCTCAGTTGCACAATGATGATCTCATCCGTTATTTACGGACTAAGCTGAGTACCATAGTCACATATATGGCTTTCATGCAAGATACATAAATAATATTATCTTAGTTTGTCAGTATTATATAAAATTAATAATGTCTATAGTTTAAATCTGTCCAATTTTTGAACTAGGAAGTAGAGTTTAATTGCAAAATACCAAGACAAAAACTTTTCTTTGCTTTTTATTTCACTGAAGTCTGGGCATTGCAAGACTTTGTCTTTCAAACTATTTTGCAAAGATGATCACTACACCAATAATTCCATATCACCATTTTCCTGTATCACTATGGCTCATCTCACCACCTTATTAAGGAGTTGGGAAAATGCACAAAAACTGTAATGTAGGCCCAGATAGAGCTCCCTATCCTGCCACTGTACAGATCCATTTCAGTCTATCTGCATCTGGTTCTAATATCAGTTCCTTCATCTTTGCGCTCATATACTGTAGACTGAGCCGTTCCAGTTTTGGTACATGATTTCTGCAGAATAAATCATACTAAATATGAAGCAGATGTAGGGTACCAAACTATTTTTAACTTGAGTGAGTAAAAACTCTATTGGATTTGAGGAGCGATGTCTTTCGTTCACCATTGCTGGATTTCCTACATCATGTTTACAAACACTGTCTTGATACATGTGATCTAGAAGAATTTCACTAAGAGTGAAAATCTTCTACATCCTTTTTGAAAAAAAAAAAAATATACTAAACACAGAAATAGTCTAAAATATTTCACCCATTTAATGTGGTAACATAAAATGCATCTGGAATTGGGTAGGAAGTAGGAACAAAGGACAGTCTGGAGTCCAAGTTTAGAATTAGGGGTAGGACATCACCAAATACAAAAAGATCAGAATTCCTTCAACACCAAGAAGCTGTGTGCATCCAAGCTGGCTTTCTAGCAGTGTATATATAAACGTGTGCATGTATATTAAAGCTGTGCATAAGCAGTTAATTAAGAGAAGCTTTATACTTTCAGAGAGGGTAGTGTCTTTTTCAAACGTGATTTTATAATACACTGTGGACTGGAATTTTTTAAAAATTGATTTTATGCATTAAAAAATAAACCACCCCATTTCCCTCTAGGCAGGATCTGCAATACTAATACAATTTGTGCACATCATTTCTGAAGCATGATCCTCAAGAAATAACGTTCCTGATAAGACCTTGCCGTTGTTAACAAGAATGAAAGAATGACTTAGATGTCTGAAGAACAGATGCTTCCCTGACCTACCATTCAACCGCAGCTTATTTAACTCAGTGCATTTCTCCAATTTGTCAAAATCATTTTAAAGCCTAATTCAGTCCTCCACAACTGCAGTCCTTTTCAGCATCGTATGTCTATATATTCCTACTATATAGCATTATTTCCATTAACCTAGAAGATAAACTATTAGAAATCATGAATGTATTTCAAAACATCAACACATTAACATTGCACTGGAAGAGAGAGAAGTTGCAAAAATAGAAGACAAAGAATCATTTCACCCTGAATTCAGTGCTTCACACTTCCCTGCAACGAAGGCCAAGACGCAACAAATTTAAAATCAAAAATAACAGAACTATTTACATCAAGTTTTGCAGAATCTTTACATGGAACTTTTAATTGCTTAGATAAAATATAATACTCTACACTCTTAATTAAACAAACCGAAAGTGACAAAGAAGCAAGTCAGCTAACACTAAGTCTATAAACCAAAGATTCAATAGACCTACATAAAAAACTCCAAAGAACAAAAATTACGTAAACAGTGGGATCCAATTACAAAATCAATATAGTTTTATTCAGAGTTTCCTGTTATTCATTGATGAAAATATTCAAAAGAAAAACTTTATTGATCAGTAATAAAGTTAGCATGTCTAACACTGAAACTCAGATTATTTTGTAATTCTCTCTTTCTTTAGCTTCTAAAATATTATTTTCCAGGTCTCAGAAGAAACATGACATCTCCTATAACACAAAAACCTTAGAAGTGAAAATATCCAGTCCCGATATCAGAAGCGCATTACCTCATTGTATTTACTTATTCGCCTTGCCACAATAAGCTGAATCATTCCCCGTTTGTTTCCTTCAGTGGACATGGACCTCCTTAAGGTTTCCATAGCATCTTGATTTGTTTTGCCCAATAGCGATTCTCCATTTACTGCTATTAGTTGATCATTCACCCGAAGCCTGCCATCCTGGAAAAGGAAAGATTATAGCTAGTTACATAAAACACACACAAAAGTAGTTTAGGCTGCTGGAGAGAAGAAAAAAACAAAAGCAAAGTAATCAACTACGCTTAGTTCTAATAGTTTATGGCCAAATGAACACTGGTGTAATAGCTTCCATTGCAGCCTCTGTAGGAAATGTCTATTCTAATTATAGATTTGTACTGCAAGCTATTATCATAACCTGTTTGCACAAATAGCATACTAATTGAACTGTACCAGAGACAGCTCATACCCTTCCTGAGAATCTGTAAGGGCTGTTTAAATCCTAGGACCCGTAATCATGTAAATCTGAGTAAAAATCTAAATGTCACTTCTGATGGCGTAATTGGAAAAAGCTAGTTATAGAGCAATCTCACTCTTCTTGAATCTGTGGTTATTTTCAAAACAGCCTTATTATGGAAAACTGAGAAAGACCAAAGTACACAGATGTTCCCTCTTACCTTGGATGCTGCTCCACCATTAATAATGGACTTGACGAAGATTCCTAAGTCGGCATGGTTTTCCTTTGACCGGTTACCTTTGACACTCACACCAAGCCCAGCTGATCCAGAGTCATTCAGTGGAACTTCAAATGTCAGGAATTCCCTGGTGCCATCAGGTGTGAGGACAAGCTCCTCTTCTTCTGCTTTCTGTTGGGAAGATTAGCATGGGATTATAGAAGAGAATTTCTCTTTGGGAATTCTATTTCCTCTACAGCTATTAGCATTAAAAAAAACCCCCAAACCTTGCTTTTAACTATAATGCCACAATATTTTCAACAGTAATTCCTTGCAGAAACCTGTACAGATAGTGTATTTTCGATCAACTCCAGCTGATGCACAGATTCACACATACCTTACATTTGTGTCTTAAGTGCTTCTCTGTCTAGTAAAATAATTGAATTGTATGTCATTACTGAATGTGCCATTAATACCAACTCACACATAAGCTGCTATTTCATTAGCCAGAGAGCTGTATCAGAAATATTTTCTTACTTGCAAACTTACAGAATTTTTAAAATACCATCATCATCTATGGTAGCTTTGCAGTCATCAGGAGAAGCTATATGCGAGAAAATTAAATTCAAAAATTACTCATTCACCTCATTTCATTTAAAACTAGCTGTGCTACGAAAAACAGAAAATTACACATCTGAGATCTGCAACAGCACATCTCTCTGCTATTGCCAAGCTTAGCATCAAATCCAGCTCTGAGGGCCAATTTTGTTGTCCTTCCCAGCTCTGCCCTTCACCTCTGTCCTCTTACTCACATCTTTGGTTCTTTGCTGTCCTCCACACCCAGCTTTAGCCTGGTTGGGATAATCATGGGTTTTGAACACTTGGAATTATAGTCCCAGGCCTGCCAACGTACCCAGCAAGTAGCTGCTCAGAAACACCCTTCCATGCACCCAAGAGCCATACAAGCACAGGTGATTGGCCTTCTCACTTCACCTCTTGCCAAGCTCACAGTGGCAGTGGTCCAGAAGCAGGGGCCTTGTGGTGTCCCCACAGAGCAGTGGCATTTGTGGGTGCAGCAGGTATGGGCACAGCACCCAGAAAAAGAAAAAAGTCAGGCCCTGAGAGCAGGGCTCATGCACAAGAGACTGCTCCTAAAAGGAGGAATGGGAATGGACAGCCTTGTCCCTTGCCATAGACATTGTCCATTTGTCTCTGACCATCTTTCAGTTATAACAAAGTGGTTATAATCACTTTTGGTTATAACTTTCTCAATTAAAGAGAAAAGTCATGCCTTTACAGGCAATTTCTGAAGTTAGCCCAGTGTCTGGCCTCCAGAAAGATGCTTAAGTGCTGCAGAAAGAAACTGTGCTGTTTCTTTCTCACCCACATGAAGGAGAAAGAGTAAGAGAATGTCCAGCAGAAGGTGCACACTAATGTCCAACATGGCAGTTCTTCTCTGGAAGAATTAATCTCACCATTTCTTTCATAATCCTAGCAAATATGTCACCTCCCTTACTGACACTGATTTTATACCAACATTTCCCACGTCATTCTCATCTATTTGCACAGCTTGCTCCTATTTTTCTCCTACTTCCAGATACTCTGAGCAGGACAAGACACATGAGAAGTTAACATGCATCTGCTGAGCTGTCCCTATTTCTGAAGACCTGAGGAAATGCAAAGCTCTTCTAAAATCCAAACACAGACTATGACAAAGATGGATGTGAAAGCCATGTGGAGTACAGCAGACAGACGATCAATTTGGGCACAAGCATGTTAGTTGTATCACCACTGACCTAAAAATGCAATGCGAAAATGTCACATGGGAAGGCAGTCAGCTGCTGAGAGAACTGGAACAGCTGAGGGAAGAAAAACAGGAGTTCCATCTTTTCCCACTTGGTTAAAAGCATGAACCTTAATGTGTTCATCAGCCCTTTCCCCTGCACTAGACACTATTTGCTCATCTCTTAGCACCTTTTAACAAAGCATAATGCTTCATCAACTAAAAATAATAACAACCCCTATCCAAGTGCCATAGCTTGGCTGGCTTGCTTATGAATCCCATTATCCAAACACATCTCCTAGCCATGCAAAACAGCATTATCTGTGCTAGCTGTCAGGAAAGGAAAGATGCACTATGTCCGTGGGAAAAAAACTGAATCTAAGAAATATTTCCCAAATCTGGGGAAAATTACAACTCTAATTTTCCTGCTTGGATCACAGAAGCACTAGTTACAGCATACATCTGAATGCATCTTTCGTCAGATGGCTGCAGAATAAACCAATCTGAGACAGATGCATATTATCTTTTAGCTTCTGTAACACTGATCACTTTCATATTCCTTAACAGATAATAGTAGGAATAAAAGCTGTAAGCCAAAACGGAAATAAAGTCAAGGTAGGATGTATGGGTAATCCAAGGAAGCATGTAAGCTTATTAGAGTTTTCTTTACTAGTATTACCATAAATTTATAATCAACCAACCTTCCCTGCTCCCAGTATCTTTTGAATCTTCTAAAAAGCCCTGCTGGAACTTCAGCCATAGCAATCTCCCTTCAAGGGCAGAGAACCGAACTGCTTCCTGCACAGCCTGTCCCCGTTTGGCGCACTTCTCTATGCTAAAGGGTCAATTGGAAAGCGTGTCTCAGTAAGCATCCCCAAGGACTTGGCTAATGGCCTCTACACTACTTCTCTTCAGCAAGACCAAAGACCTGCACTACCAATCAGCTCAGTACTATTCCTATTGTAAGGCTTCTGCTTTCTTGTTTTCTACAGTCTTGAATATGGAAATAAGCTAAAATCAAGCTACAGACACCTGAGTGTGCAGGTGAAACTTAAGGCCTGAACCGGGAGCAAAGTAATCCTTAGCAGCTGCATAAGTGAGTAGATCATGCTCATGAAAAAATAAGAAACAGCAGCCTCAGCACTGGAACAGAAGTACTGAAACCAGGAGAAAAATGCTCAATTTATCCAGAGAAAAAAATTACCATTACTGGGCTAAGGCAAAATTGCTTTAGGAACTTCTTTGGGTATCCACAGCTTCTTTTAACTAACCCAGGTTGTTCCACTACCATACCTGTGTCTGCAGTTTTAGGGACATGAGAAGCCTTTTGATGTCTATCTGCTATCTGTATCATTTCTCAGTACCATATGCTTGCATAAAGATTTTTAAAAGAGAAAGAGAGAGAACGGATGTCTACTTTTGATATCCCACATTTTTTCCTAAGAATAGGAGAAAAATGCGGCTGTCAAGAATAACTGAACCATTAAGATTCAAAGGCTATGGATATGAAAGCACCAACTATAAAATTTGTGCCATACCATGGTACTGAAGAAGGTCTTACTTGATATGACATACTGAATAAACTTCATACATACAAACCTTGGAGCACAACTACATAGCGACCAGGAACCTCTAAGCATGTCATAAAGGAGCCATTATCAGAGAAATCAGCAAAACAGGAAGATTTTAGGCTGATACCACAATATTTTGAATAAAAGTTGTAAAAACTAAACCAACCAAACAAAAAAACCCCAATAAAACCTCAGTCTGGCTGAATCCTTTGTTCCCCAAAGACCTTTACAGTAAAGAAGTGTTACACGTACAGTGACTCTCCCCAATTAATTAAATATCATCTATTTTAAAAAAGTAAAATTTGCACTGAAATTATGTTGAACACTAAGTGTCTAAATGTAATGAATCATAGAAATTTCCCAAGACATCTTTGAGAGCATAAAAATGCACAAAAATCTAAAATGCAGCATTTAAAAATTTCAACTGAGAACACAATCACATCCTAATTGCAATAACTTACATTTGATCTTGATACACTCTAAATTAACAGCTTCACTATGTCAATCAAACACCTCAACACTATTTTCATGATTAGTTGATCTGTGGGAGAAATTTATTCGTTCAGATACTTTGACAGGCCAGCAGTAAACATGCAAGCAAAATTAAGCACGGTGAGCCCTGAACAACAAAATTCAACTCCCTTAAGATTTTTCATATGCTATGTCCAAAACAATTAACAGCGGAACAATATTCTGTTCAGACAGAGTCTGCTGAGGAAAAGGTCATCTGAAATGACTTCGGCTGGATGAATGAAGCTGCCCGAGTATGTAATTTGTAATAAAAATTCAATTGCTGATAAATTTTGTAGGTGACATTTTTTGCTTCAAATTCGTACTTAGCATCAATTTATGCTAAGAGACATCTGAGATAAGTTTTTCACTTTTTAAGTACAACATAAATATATCGTAAATTTAAAAATAAACCTCATGACCAGAGCAAACTTATAGCAATGCTTCAATATATAGAGAGATTTTTAAAAGCCGTAAGATAAACTGGAGGAAAATTATTTTCCTCTTCTACATAACATTGGTTTCTGATCAGACCATAAAACCTAATTAAATTTTATAAACAATGTTAAAATGGCCCCTGATGCTAAGAGTGCAATAAATTTATCTCATCATATTAATAGCAGCATTTCTTCCTTATCCTTTTATGCTTTAAATACTGTGAAGAAACTTCTTGCTTGGGACTTCTTCCCTTTATAAAATCTCATCAGACTTCAGCTGGTGAGTAAGTAGCATGAGATGGGTGAAGAAAGAAACCTAACAGCAAAGAAAATCCTCCTCCCACCTCACGGGGGAAGCAATTTTCAATCAAGCTGGGACAAGTTTCCCAAGTGGCTCGCTGCAGCTACAAATCTGGCTGCATTCTCTCAAGTGAAGTTCATTCTCTTGCAAGCTTAGACATGCTGTCTTCTCAGCAGCTATTAAGTCACTGAAACTTGTCTGCAAGTTACTTTGTGATTATGTATAGAGAAAAGAAATAAGTTAATCATGGGACTTCCAGCTAAAACCCAGTGCACTCCTGTTCCCTTTCACAGGAACAATTGATAAAGCTCTGTATCCCTGCTTTTAAAGGGTAACCTATACTTCTAAGCTATGTATATGAAAACATGTACATAAAAACATTTATAGAGCTCTTTTGCACACATATATGCCTGCACATATGTAAACACACCCTCCTACAGAACACAATGATGAAATTCACGTGATAAATCATGTAACTATAAACAAACCCTGCCTAAGGCCTCCAATAATGCCATCTACACTATTCACTTTCCCTGCCCCCAAATCCTGTTGTGTCCAGCCTTTTAATATCACTGCTCTAAGCCTGTTGG